GTCTTTTTGACCAAGGTTGCGGACAAGTGAGCAATAAAGGGTTAATACACGGTGGCTCTGCCTCACAGACAGTACAGGCAATTGAATACCTTCTACAGCCAGCAAACACATTGGTTAAGGTTGAGGGTGGCTCTGCGGTGGGGGCTGTTAAATGGACTGGACTCTCTGGATCAGGAGTCACTGTGCACACCACATGTCTGTTTGCTAATATCCATGTTCAGTGGGAGAGCGAGGGGAAGAAGGGAGGGAGAGAAAATAGGGGCAGAGGAGGTTGGGTTTTTCAAAGAATAGATGATCATGAATTTTCACGGAAACCCATTAAAGTCAACACGGTTGTTTTTTTGTACAGAATTCTTCTTAATTTAATGTGCTTTCAATTGACACAATCTTTGTGGCTTGCTTGTTTTTTCCAACTTTGCGCTTCCATTGTCACATGTGCACATGCACACGCTTCCCCCTCCTTTTCACGACAGACGGTGAGGTGGCCCTCCCTGGATTGTCGTGTATAAGGGACAGAGGGTAATGTTGTTTTGCTCTTGAGTTGGCTAACCTGGTGTCACCTGACATTGAAGTGAACAACAACAGCTATACACTCGCCGGACTTGTTCTATACCTTACTGCGCACATTCAAATAATTTTATTTTAAATGTTTCATTAAAAGTTACTAGTTTATGAAAGTTTTTTTAAAACCATTTGAAACCACCATGAATACGAAGAGTACATTTCTAGTAACTAATTTCTAGTGATCCTTATATAAGGATCCCACAGCCAGCAACACAACTCTGCTCACGTCGCGACTACTAATCTGTGTGTTTATGAGAGGGAGGTTGTGTGTGCGTGTTCAAACACACGCACAAGCGCGTTCATATGTATATTTGAGGGCAGCAGCGCATGCTCCAGCCAGCCAGTGCGTGGTTTATTTTTAACAGGCTTTCTCAGAGACAAGCTTGCAGGTCACGTTGTTAGAAAGAGGCCAGTAAATTCACATTATGATTCCAGAGGAATCTATAGATCACTGTAGATTCTCTTCCATCCACTATATAAGGACCTCTATGACCCTCGAAATTTATCTTTAGGGTTTTTCCTATCTTTCTTTCCTTCTCCTATGCCACACATGGGCTCTTCACTTCTGCCGTTTTGGTGGGGGGTGAAGAAATATGTAAACACTGACAGTGGGAGAGGAGGACTTACAACAAGACTCTGGTCAAACAACTGGCAACAGTGTGCTGCTCTGTGTTATGTGTTTATAGGGTTTTTTGTGTGTGTGTGTGAAAGCAGTGTTAATTTCATCAACGAAGATGACGACGAAAAATATTCGTTGTTAAACATTTTTTCTGTGACTAAGAAGAGACGTTGATGAGCTAAAATTAATATGTGATGATAAAACCTATGACGAAATTTATGCTGCATCTTCGTTAACAAGACGAGACAGGACTATAATGTTATTTGTGACCCTGGACCACAAAACCAGTCATAAGGGTTAATTGAGATTTATACATCTTCTAATAGTTGAATAAATAAGCTTTCCATTGATGTATGGTTTGTTAGGATAGGACAATAGTTGGCCGAGATACAACTGTTCTCTGCAACTGCATTCTGAGGGTGCAAAAAAAATCGAAATATTGAGAAAATCGCCTTTAAAGTTGTCCAAATGAAGTTCTTAGCAATGCATATTACTAATCAAAAATTAAGTTTTGATATATTTACAGTAGGAAATTTACAAAATATCTTCATGGAACATGATCTTTAATTAATATCCTAATGATTTTTGGCATAAAAGAAAAATCACAAATTTTTACCCATACCAGTTTTGGCTATTGCTACAAAGATCTGAAACAATGGCCTCAGCACCCGAAGAGGTAGGGATAAGGTGACCAGACATCCCGTTTTTCCCGGGAGTCACAATTCGTTGTCGATTAACTTAAAGTTAGTGAAGGCTGGATAGGCGGAATCGCACTGATCGAAGTGCTCTCTCTCGCGCATGCTCCACTTCTTTAGTTGTCATATACAGTAGGGCTGCACAATTAAGCGAATTTCTAATCGCAATTACAATTATGGATGCCACAATTACGTAATCGTTCAAAGCGGCAATTAATCATTCAAAGTCCATTTATGTTATTCTGCACTCTTAAGATATGTTTTTTTCTTTCTACATGTTATCATATAAGGGTTTTTCCATTGTTTTAGTTTTAGTATAAAAAATTTTATACCATTCATATTTTTATAATTTAAAGAAGAAACCAATCCGATGTATATTTGACATTTGAGGCTTAATACTATAGAAAAGCACGAAAGGTTTTTCAGTTAGTGTTTTCAGCTTGTTTATTTTCATATAAAAATACAGCATGCAGTTGCATCAAACAATGGTATAAACATCATTCAATGTAAATTGTGATAATCGTAATTAATAATCGCAATTACAATTTCAAGGGAATAATCGACAGTTATGATTTTTGTCATAATCGTGCAGCCCTAATATACAGCGTGCGATCAGTTCTCAGTGCTCAGATACACACACAGCAGTCCAAATGTCTATCGTGTAGAGTATCTCACGTAAATACAGTCGGTTATGGATTAAGTGAACATAAACAGGTGGGTGAAAACTGAACGTGTGTCAGTATTACATGCATGCTTTCCGTCTTAAAGGGACAGCATTCCTAATTAAGTACCTATACGTGTCATTAATGTTAACCAACAAAAGATGTTAAATAAATGTTAAGTAAACCTACTATATCTGAAAAATTAGTTTAATTTGTATCTCTTTCGTATTTGTCTTATTGTGTTATTCTGCTTCTTTTTCAAAAATGAGAAATTTTATATATACATATATGTGTGTGTGTGTGTGTGTGTGTGTGTGTGTATATATATATATATATATTTGAACAACTATAATTTATTTAAGTTGCTCCCTTTTCAATACTATTAAAGGGATAGTTCACCCAAAAATGAAAATTGTCCAAATTAAATCCTTTTGTTCAAATTTCTTATTAGCTTAATTGATTTGGACTAAAGAGAGAAGAATTAATGACTATTTTTGTTTGAAGACTACATATAAAATAGCTACCAAAATAAATGTTGGTAACTGCAGTTTAACTAAAAGTAATGACTAAAAGTTGACAAAAATGCAAAGTCTTTTCATCGACTAAAACTATGAAAGACTCAAATTACTAAAATGTGACTAAGACTATTAATCATTTTTGTCTCAAGATAAAGACTAAGACTAAATCAAAAATACCTGTCAAAATCAACACTGAAAGAAAGAGCACATAAAAGGCAGAGGAATGCGGTTACACCATTTTAGGAGCTGCTTATCAGAGTAGGCCATTTTGTTAGTTTTAATATTTACAATTGTAACGTGGTCTTACAGCAAGATTCTTGAATTGATTTTTAGTTGTTTGACCCCTAGAGTCAAGGTATGCATTCACCTTGAGAAATTCATCTTTGTTTCCAAATGCAATGACTTCAGTTTTCTCCTTGTTTAACTGAAGAAAATTTTGGCACATCCAACTGTTAATTTCATCAAAGCATTAACCCGACCCAGTTTTCCAGTCTCTCTAGAAGTTTGTTATGATCGACAGTGTCAAATGCAGCACTGAGATCTAGTAGTACCAGCACTGATATTTTGCCAGAATCCGAATGCAAGCGAATATCATTTATTATCTTAATGAGCGCTGTCTCTGTGCTGTGATGCGGTTGGAAACCAGATTGAAAATTGTCCAGGTATCCATTTGAGTTTAAGTATTTGTTCAGCTGATTAAAAACTACCTTTTCAATAATCTTGCCTATAAAAGAAGATTTGATATTGGTCTATAATTGCTCAAAATGGTGTTATCAAGATTGCTCTTTTTCAGAAGGGGCTTAACAACTGCAGTTTTCAGGGAGTTTGGAAACGTCCCAGAAAGAAGTGAGGCGTTCACCACTTCTAAGAGATCTGCCTCCAAACAGTTAAGCACCCTTTTGAAAAAAAAGATGTGGGAAGTGTGTCAAGATAGTAGGTTGACGATTTTAGGTGCTGCACTATTTCTTCCAAAATTTTGCTATCAATTGCTTCAAAAATAGACATAGTATCTTCTTTTTGATATTGCGGTCGAATCTGTCTGACCTCTGCATAACTTGAGGATATGCTAATCGCCTTCCTGATATTAATGATCTTCTCAGAAAAGAAGGAAGCAAACTCATTGCATTTGCTGTCAGAGAGCATTTCACTGGGAATCTGACTTGGGGGTTTGTCTCTCAACAGTAGCAAAAAGAGTGCGAGTGTTGTTTAAGTTACTGTTTATAAGGTTTGAGAAGAAACTCTATCTAACTGTGGCTAGTTCCACATTGAGAGCATGAAGGCTAATGCCACAGTATTTACACTTTTTGGAAAAATCTACCTACAGTCTACCTGCTTCATTCTGTGAAATAAGAGTAAAAAAAATGACACTTCAGCTTTACACATTTACGCGTGTTAGCATGAAGAGACATGGAAAAGATGTGATCATGTTGGCCCACCTGGTCTTTCTCCAATATTATGTTGTAAAATAGGAATATTGCTTGAGCCTGCTGAATTACACATTTAAATGTGTATGCTTGCAGTCAATTTTTTTTCTTAGCATATTTTAAATTGAGTACATTTCTGAAAAAAGGAAGTGAAATTAAATAAAATACCTGATCATTGTGTATTGTGGTCTGGTGTTATTTTATCAACATCATTTATTATTGTTATTATTATTATTACTGATAATAATCTATATTTCCTGTAAGATTTAATTTAAAGCAGTCTTTCTTTAGCATCTTTTATTAATTTGCCACAAGAATAAAAAAAATTGTATAACATTTTTTTGCACTTGTATGTATGTATGTGTGTATGTATATATATATATATTTCTTTTGATTTTCCCTATAGAAATTAATGGTCAAGTGTGGTATCCTGTTTTTTGCAATAAGCCACACCCCCCTCTATATGAGTAGAAGTCACTGTGGATGAGAAGCATCTGTTCTTTCCCTAAAAATGTTTTCTTGACAACCAGTGCTGCCACGACCAGTGTCTGGGCGGCTGCTTGGAGCCCAACTCGTCAAACAAATGTGTGGCCTGCCGCAACTTCATGCACAATAACGTCTGCGTTGACAAGTGCCCAGCTGGTTTCTACACCTTTAAGGGCTGGCGCTGCGTCAGCTTCAGCTTTTGCCAGGAACTTCACAACAAGTGTAAGCAGAGCAAAGGTGACTGCCACGAATACGTCATCCACAACAGTGCCTGCATCCCAGAGTGCCCTTCTGGGTACACCACTGTGAACTCCACTACGTAAGTAACCCGCTGCTTGTACACTCTCTACTCAGTGTACATGCATAAATACTAGTGCACATGTCCCCAAGTGTTTTAAAGGTACTTCACATGCTACACATGTGCGTCAGGACCCATAAAAGCTCAATCTTTCGTGTATGAAATGTGACCTGTTAAGAGTGAGGTTGTCTGGGTCACTGGACCACTTTATGCCTCATTTAGACTTCAGACTTGAAAATGGAATAGATGGACTAGCCACTTGACTTTTCCTTTTCTCATTTACATGAGAAACATGATTTTTATGCTTTTCATATGCTCAAACAGCACCAAGGACTCAATGTTGTTTATATGAACTGGTAAGCTGTCCATTGCTGCTAAAAAAAACTGGGTTGGTGGTATAGCTGGTTTAAACTGGTCTAGCTAGTCTCCCAGTCTGAAAATTTTTTTAAATCCTTAAAACCAGCTGGCCAGACAAGTCTGACCAGGCTGAGAGACCTGCTAAGACCAGCAAAACAGCTTAGGCCGGTTTAAGTCAACAACTTAACAGGAACAAGAAGTGAAGAAAAGTACTGAACTGCAAAGATGGCTTAGAGCGATCAGGGCTGTGCTGAGCTCAATCGACTGTCTGAGTGCACAAAGGATAATTTGGGACAGAGTGAGTGAGAGAGTGTGTCAGAAAGCGAACGTTGTATGTTAATGAGAGGAGGTGTGTGAGTTTTAAAGCAGCACTGCCTGCCGCTGACCTAGTGTGAGGCTTGGCAGTGCTGTTTGTGCCCATTTAAAGAAGGTCTGAGCAGGAATAGGACGACTACAACAGACCACTAACCTCTGTTTTACAGAGCTTTTCAGAACAAAGTTTTGTATTGTTTGTTTGTTTGTAGTGGAAATATAGGATAACCAATGTCTCGTAGCTTTATTCCCTCTCACACTATTTCTATACACACATGCGTTTCTGTATGCAGAAGGATGGACGATTGTTCACATAAATGGTTTTTGTCACATTCTCAAAATTATTTTTAGTCTCTTTGGTCCATTCTCTTTGTTTAAATGGGAAACGCGTTTTAGCAACTATCCAGAGTTTGATATGAAGAGCAACAGACAGGTAAAAATGTAGTGCTGTTCAGACATTATGGGATATGATTTTTACATTTGTTAAAAGTCTTTCGTGCTTACCAGGGCTGCATTTATTTGATCAAAATGAGAAAGTTTCTTATTACATTTTAATTACAATTTTATTACAGTTATTACAATTTAAAATAACTGTTTTCTGTTCAATGTATTTTGAAATGTAATTTATTCCTGTGATGGCAAAGCTGAATTTTCAGCATCATTACTCCAGTCTTCAATGTCACATTTTCCTTCAGAAATTATTCTAATATGCTGAGTTGATGCTCAAGAAATATTTATTATAGTGCTGGGAGGTTTGGAACTCTCTCGGAACGCATGTACAACAGTTAGCGGAAGCTAGAGATTACGGTTTATTTTAAATATATTTTTCTTAGACAAACGCATCGATTCACTTCAGGAGGCATTTATTAACCCCCTGGAGCAATGTGGAGCACTTTTTATGATGGATGGATGCACTTTATTTTGCTTCAAAATCTCGACGACCATTCACTGTCATTATAAATCTTGGAATACAACAGTTAGCGGAAGCTAGAGATTACGGTTTATTTTAAATATATTTTTCTTAGACAAACGCATCGATTCACTTCAGGAGGCATTTATTAACCCCCTGGAGCAATGTGGAGCACTTTTTATGATGGATGGATGCACTTTATTTTTCTTCAAAATCTCGACGACCATTCACTGCCATTATAAATCTTGGAGGAGCCAGGACATTTTTTTATCTGACTCCGGTTGTATTCGTCTGAAAGAAGAAAGTCATATATACATAGGATGGCTTAAGGGTGAGTAAATCATGGGGTAATTTTCATTTTTGGGTGAACTATCCCTTTAACTTTTGAATGGTAGTGTGTTCAAAAGTTGAATGGAATGGTCAATTTTATGCTTTAAGAGCCCTCCAAAACAATATCAGGCACTGGTGAAATGTCTCCTGTAAAAATAGTGATTGCATTTGCTTGCAAAAAATTTTAGTTTGATTATTTTTGTACATGGAGTGAATAGGAATCTTCCATGATTTATTTTGTTTGCACCTTTGAGCTAAAACTTTTTTTCTTACACAGAAATTAAAATTTTATCATTTTTGACCGTCAAGTCACTTCAAACCATCTAATAGTTTATTCTACTGAGAAACTTAAAAATGTGTAACGTCTGAGCTGTTTTTGTCCAAAATGCAACAACACAAAATGGTGAGTCATACTGTCAATCAGCAGAAAGCATAAGCACCATAAATGTTTCAGGAAATGAGTCCTTATGACTCTTTCACTACATTCCAAGTCTTCTGAAGCCATACTATAGGTTTGTTTGTGTAACAGACTATATTTTGTGTGTAATGAGTTTCTCAGCGCATGGCTTAAAATGCTGTATGAACCACTTTTATGGTACTTTCATTTTTGGAGCTTGACCGTCTGAATCACCATCCTGTTTATTTGATGAGAAGATGAAGTACGATGTGACGTCAAAAAAATTGTTGAACCTTTTAGACGAACTAAAAGCTTTGAATGCTTATATCGTCTAAATGCGAATTTTGTCACTGTTTTGGAGTGCCTTATAGATAACCTTAAGACTAACATATTGATACTAACACCCAAAAAACTTTAATTTTGATTTCATGGGGACTTTAAATCTAAAAAGCAGACCTAAAATTTACTTTAGTGTTTATTTGAGTTTAAAAAATCATGTGGTTGAAGAAAAATTAGCGCAAGTAAATAATGACAGAACTGACCCTGTAATGCATGTTCTGCCAGATAGGACACTCCTTTTTTCGGTTACGCTTTTTCTTTCCCTCTTTCTCATGTTACTCTTGCTGCCCCCGTGCCAGTATGACCCCTGGACTGGGCAGTGTGGGTGCACTGTGGGAATTCAGACAGCAGACACACAAATCAAAGAGGCTGGACAGACACAGCGCAGTGGTCAGGCTTCTCGCCCCGTGCTGCCGCCCTCGGTTATAGTCTCAGCATGCTAGCTGGCCTCCATTGAGATATCAGGAGTTTCGACATCCTGGTCTCATCAACTTGTCTGTCTGTCAGCTGCATAGACAGGGAGCGCCGTCTGGCCACTGACAGATAAATGACTCTTGAGTTGCATCCCTGCCGCAGGGAGACATGGCATACTGGACTCTGATGTGTCTGCAATACAGATTTCACCCACGCTCCAGCTTCCCTTCAGATTAGCTGGATAAACCGCAACACATTCTGTCCTTTTTGGCAGGTACCATAAAAGAGTATCAATTTGCAAAACACAGTGATGACCCATTCAAGGAATAAACTTGTGCTTTACCCTATAGGTGGTTTGTGCACATTCGTGGCACGGCTTCACATCTGGTATCATGCTGTGACACTATTATAATTAAGACTTTTGGCATGGAAACCACGCCTCCATATCCTTTGTTTTGCTTGTGGATTCACATTTTATTGCAGTTGTTGTACAAATATGCGTAGTGTAGTTTCACAGGAAATAGTGGCACGGAAAGCATCCTGCACAGAAGACAAACAGTTCCTCAGTCAGGCCTGACGTATATACAAAAACAATCAGTGATTAAGTTGTGCCTCTGGCACGTCTGAGAGGATGTCTCATTCATCCTTGATTGCACCCTCGGCCTGCCCTGCAAGGTCACCCGTGCTCCCGCTCCCAGCGCTAACACTTTGGGCAACAGGATCCACGTCCTTGACACAAACAATCTGTTATTGTCGTAATACCGCAAATTTGCTTAAATGTCAACGAGAATAGAAACTCCATCATATCTGCATTTCGTTGTTTCTGTGTTGTTCACAGCACTTGTGGATGAATGAATTTTGTTTGTTGTGTGGCTTTGTGTACATGTGACTCTGTGTTCTGCAGGTTGAACTGCACCCCTTGCGCTGGCCTCTGTCCCAAAGTGTGCATGGGGCTGAAGACAGTGGACTCAGTCACTGCTGCGCAGGCTCTGAGAGGATGCACTGTAATCAACGGCAGTTTGGTCGTCAACATCCGTGGAGGGAGTAAGAACAAACAAACTCTCTAATACAATTTCTCCTCTTTGTGCAAGCGTAGAAGGACATCTTTAGCGCTCTGGAATTCATGGTTCTGATTGGTTAATCAGCATTCTGCAAATGTTTTTGTATAATGACAACTAAACTATATAATTGGCTTTTGTCTGTGGCAATCATTCCTCATACTATTGACACTATTGCTCATATAAATACACACACACACTCTCATATACGTACACAAAATTTTCTGTTTTCATTGATATTTAATTATTAATCTGTCAATTATTCTAGAGTATCGCAATATGCATATCGCAAGGGCGTGCGATATCGGAATCATTTTAATAATAGGCTACTTAAATCAAAATGTTGCAAAAGGTCAAAGTTTTAGTTCGACGCATATAGCAGAGAATTGCTTGACGTTAAAAAGAGTTGTGCAATAAGTTGCAGAAAACAACTCTTTGCCGTTTCGTCTTGCTTGCGGCGCGTGAACACCGAGTTGATTTGTCTTTTGCATCTCCTCATGTTTGAACAGACACAAACACAGAATTATGTCAATAGTACCTGTCTCACCAATCATTCTCGTAAACGCAGTCAGTTATGTTTTAAATGAATGTAAACAGCTGAGAAAGAAATCGGATGTGTGTCATTATACTGGATCCGTGCAGTCGGTTTTAAAGGGACAGCAGCCTATAAATACATGCTGCTGAATATGTCACTAATGTTAATCAAACAACAAAATGGCTATAACAAAGATTAATCTAAATTTAATTCATACAGTGAACACTATGCAGTGTTATTTTACACTTAATTATTAAATTTCTGTATCTGGATACTACTGTTTATTTTATATATGCTTGTAAATTGTGTATTTGTTCTTTTTTTTTCTTTCATTTCTTTCTTTTTTTTACTGACTGTTCACTTGCCTTTAATCATGTTTGAACTTTCTCAGACTATAGTTTTTGCTGTGGTATATGAAGAAGTACTTAAAGTGTATGGAAAGCAAAGTTACAATGATATAAAATTAGTGTCATTATTTTTTTTTTGTTTGCGTGTTCACACTAATGTTAAAATTACATTTTCTGATTTGTGAAATTACTTTTTATGTAATGCTAAAACACTGCTGGTCACTTTCAGAAGTTGCAGTGATTCTTTCTTTTCCAAGAGAGAATGTGAAACAAATTGGTTATATAATTTTCATAACAAAACAGCTATAACAAAGATTACTCTAAATTTAATTCATAGTGAACACTATGCAGTGTTATTTTACACTTAATTATTAAATGTCTGTATCTGAATACTACGGTTTATTTGATCTCTGCTTGTGTATTTGACGGTTCACTTGCCTTTAATCATGTTAGAACTTTCTCAGGCTATAGTGTTTGCTGTGGTATACGCAGAAGTACTTCATGTGTGCGGAAAGCAAAGTTACAATGATATAAAATTAGTGTCATTAATTGTTTACATTGATGTTAAAATGACATTTTCTGATTTGTGACGTTACTTTTTAAGTACTGCTAAAACACTGCTGGTCACTTTCAGAAGTTGTAGCGATTCTTTCTTTTCCAAGAGAGAATGTGAAACAAATTGGTTATATAATTTTCATTTTCATCATTTAAATTGATTTTACACACTTTAAGCAATATCGTATCGCATATCGCATTTTTCTTCAATATCACACAGCCCTAATACACACTGTGTGAATATATATATATATATATATATATATGTATACAATAATAATAATATTATTATTATAATTATTACAAAATTATAATTATTAATTTGTAAGTCATTCAGGTGTATAATAATATTAATATAATAATTAATTATATCGTATATTTTGCACCTTGGGTGTGCATTCACTTCCAATAATTCAATGGTTCGCCATTAGTTATTTCTTATGTAATCAATAGAAACACATACACAGAAACACATACAATCGTATGTACATTCAACAGAGTGCAGGTTTTCAAAAATTCCGATTTTAAACTTGCTCTCCATCCCTCCCTGTTAGATAACATAGCCGCAGAGCTGGAAGCTAACTTGGGACAGCTGGAGGAGATCACCGGCTACCTGACAGTACGACACTCATACGCCCTAGTCTCTCTATCTTTCCTTCGCAAGCTCCGAATCATCCATGGAGAGACACAGGAAGTCGAGTATGAGTCTTGTCATAGGATTTGTCAAACCTAATAATCCCATGTCATCTATATATTCCCTCCTCTTCCCTTGTCCTCACTTGTGTGCTGTATTATTTCCCATCAGGAATTATTCCTTCTATGCCCTCGATAACCAGAACCTGCGTCAGTTGTGGGACTGGAACAAACACAACCTGACCATCAAGCAGGGTCGCATGTTTTTCCATCATAATTCAAAACTCTGCATGTCAGAGATCCGGAAGATGGAGGAGGTGACCGGCACTAAGAACCGGCAAGCAAAGAATGACATTGTCTCAAAGACCAATGGAGATCAGGCTTCATGTGAGGAGGACATAGCGTTGCATTTCAGTTATGCTCGTGCTCTTTCTGAATAAATCTGAATGCATTTTTGTTCCTATTTCATTAGGTGAGAGCCAGGTTTTGAAGTTCACACAGATTCGCACGCTTTCTGACAAGATCATAATTAAATGGGAACCTTTCTGGCCACCAGATTTTCGAGACCTCCTGGGATTCATGGTTTTATACAAAGAGGCGTAAGTGACTTGACTTTTTATACCTGTGATATGACCCTGTTCCCCTCACACACACACACACACACGACGCGCTACTCTGCGCTGCGCAAAACTCCGCATTTGAACAGTCAATAGCAAATACTTAAACTAATAACAAAACATACTTGCAGTCGCTGATTCAGAAGCGCCAGATTGTCATAGCAAAGTCAGAAATTACCCCTTTTTTTTTTTTTTTTTTTTTTTTTTTAGAAATAGCCTTTGTGCACAGCCAGCCTTGTACTCTTCTAGGTTCGTCCATAAAATGCGTTGCACAAATTCGAACATCTGGGTTGTGCTGTTCTGTTGTAAATAAATCTTAACCAATGATTCCTAATGGGCGGCATTATGCTAATATTTCCACATAGTGACGTAGATATGTGGGGGCGTGTTAGAACGAGCCGTTTTAGGTAGGCGTGGTTGACTCTTAACTTTTATAAAGAATATCTCTTTGGATTTGAGACTTCAGTCTTTGCAACTTTACAGATCTTCTTTATGCACCAAGAGCTTGTAACACTCCAAAGAGAAAGGAAAACTTGAAATCGCATCATATGACCCCTTTAATCAGTCTAGACCGTTTGTTTACTGTGTTTTGAATGAGGCTGTGAGGGATAGAAGTATTGTCCAAAATCCAGACCATTTTGCCCACTGGAAACTTTTAAGTGAAGTCTATATTTTGTGTTTTGTCAACTTAATGGTCCATTCCAAGTTAAATGGACTGTACTTCCACTTGATTTTCATTTTCACCGTATTCAAAACGTCATCTACCCTGACTCTAAGGTCCATTTTATTGCTGTTCTTAGTTTGTAGTTTGAGTACATTGCAATAAAGTGATGATTTATGTGTAAGGATTTGTTGACATTTCTCTCTGCTCCTCTAGGCCATATAAGAACGTGACTGAGTTTGATGGTCAGGACGCATGTGGCTCTAACAGCTGGGTCATAGCAGATGTAGACCCTCCGCCTCGTGCCACAGATGGAAAGGAACAGCAGGAGCCCGGGTACCTCATCCTCCCTCTGAAGCCGTGGACACAGTACGCCATCATGGTCAAAACCCAGCTCTCCGCTTCTGATGAACACCAAGTCCACGGAGCAAAGAGCGAAATCATCTATGTCCTCACCAATGCTACCAGTAAGAGCTTCAGAAGCAGTGTCTTGAGAAGATTATGAAGTTTTTTTTGCGGCGACTCGTACTGTCAAGCAAAATTTAAATATGATTAGTTTTCCAGAAGTGGGGAGGACAAACCTAGAAATTTACAAAGTTGGGATGGTCAGTTTTTTTGTATGCCCTTGCTCAAAACATCTATTTACTCTCTTAGAGCTTTGAATTTGAATTCTGATTTTGAATGCGTAATCTCTTCACCAAACCTGCTTAAAACTGAATTTAGTAATTTCTGAAGTTGTTTTCTGATTCCAGTTGCAGTGTTTATCGTGTAGGCTTGGCATGAGAGAGCAATAAAAGAGGTCAAAGGCTGGTAAAATAGGTTGCTGATGACTTTCAACAGTGTGAAATCACTCAGCATGACAGGCCGTGATTTAGGAGAAAAAACTAATGTGGTTTGGTTTCAGTGCTGCCAGGTGTCTGTCTGGCTTCCTTTTGAGCTTGTTTTGTCTTTTCTTCCTGATCAACCAGATAACCCTTCACTAAGCTGAGAACATTGTTTTTTCTTCTGGTTTGGTAAATGGTTGGGTTCGCATGCTGTGATATCGATGGTGCCCCCTTCCACTTCTTCCTTTTTAGCTGGAAACTGTCATTATTCTTCTTGTCTCATTGGTGACCCAGTCTGACAATGTGGTCTAGCCAGAATTGAGTTTAATCTACTGTTCTACTAGTCTACTTTTTTACTTTGTTTTCATTTAAAATCATTCATGGTTTTTCCATATACCTATGTGTGATTTTTGTTTTTTAGAACCCTCTGTGCCCCTGGACCCCATATCCTCATCAAACTCCTCATCTCAGATCATTCTGAAGTGGAAGCCCCCTAACGATCCAAATGGAAACGTCACACACTACCTGGTCTTCTGCCAGCAGCAACCAGAGGCCAGCGAGCTCTATAAGTTTGATTACTGTCAGAAAGGTTAGAAAACATACAACAATATAACGTAGAACAAACACATTAGTGTTCAAAAGTATAGGGTTGGTAAGACTTGGAATATTATCTGTAATTATGCCAGAACAAAGTCTGAGCCTTGTGTTTCTGTTGTTCAGGTATGAAGCTGCCCACCAGAGCCCCCACACAAGTGGACAGTGAAGAGGAACAGAAGTGGAACCAAACCGAAGAGCAGGGCCAAGATAGCCGCTGCTGTGCTTGCCCCAAAACGGAGAAACAGTTGAAGAAAGAGGCAGAGGAGACAGAGTACCGCAAAACCTTCGAGAACTACCTCCATAATGAAGTGTTTGAGCTCAGGTAAACTTTCTGCTTCTTCGTTTAACTAGTGTAGATTAGAACAGCAAAAATTAATCATTAATGAAAATAACTGATTTGCAAATGATCAATTAGAACCTCCCCCAGTGACACAGAGTAGTAAAAAATGGTTTTCTATGAAAAAAATTTTTTTTAATTTTACTATTTTTGCACTCAATATATAGCATATATTATAGGGACTTTTTCATGTATAAACAATATATGGCACACATTATTCTTAATTTTTCATATGTAGACAATATCTTTCATATATTACATAGGCTTTTTAGATAGGCAATATATGGCATACATAATAGAAACTTTATTTTAAGTGCAATATATAGCACACATTTTATAGTTTATTTTCCATATATAGGCAATATATTGCATACATATAATTTTTTTCATATATAAATAATATCACATACATTCATATACACTAATATAAAGACTATATAGCATGCTGCACATTATATACACTTTTTCATATAAAAGCAATATATAGCATAGATATTCTGTAGACTCATTCATCTATAAACAGTATATTGCATATATTATATAAAAAATTTTCATATGTAGACAATTTATAGCATACATAACATACACTTTTTCATTTATAGGCAATATATAGCATACATTAGGTAATTTTTTGCATATAGTCAGTTTTCATATTGTTTCAAGGAGAACATTGTGCAGGATTTATCAACAAATTAATCAATTATCAAAGTAGTTCTTAGTTAGTCCTAGTGAAAAGGGTTCAGAAACATTCGGAGACTCTTGAGATGCAGCTGTCAGATTCTTCACCTGATGTGACCCTCTTAAGTGGAGATTCTCAAGTGGTTCATGGTGTTCATCTATTTTCTTCAGTTCTAAGCTCAGGGTTGAATGTCTTCGCAGTGGTCACTCTGGGTTAATTTTGACTCCACCAAGACCTTGAGTATGTGTTTTTGTTCGTTTCCACTGTCTTTGTGTATCTTTGGCCTTCAGAAGCTCACAGCTGGCTTTAAAGGTCCTGTTCCACTCCTACACACACATGCACACTCCCACGTACACACACATGTTCTCTTAAACCTTGTACAGGCTTTAGTTTAGTGTAATCTTTTTTGGGGGGGGAAAGATGTTGTCTGCTTTGTGGTAGTGATAGACAATGTTGACAGCGACTACACACATGCACACTCCCACGTACACACACATGTTCTCTTAAACCTTGTACAGGCTTTAGTTTAGTGTAATCTTTTTTGGGGGGGGGAAAGATGTTGTCTGCTTTGTGGTAGTGATAGACAATGTTGACAGCGACTATCACGACGCATTCAGAGGAAGTGCAGACTCCTACACAGACTGTGTCTCTCGATACCCTAAATATTATAGTTGTCTTGCAGCTGGTCTGCACATTTTATTCAGTGATTTTATGGACTATAAAAAGTGTTCAGTTGATTTTATTTAGATGTTAATATATGGTTTTACTTAAAAAATATTTTATCCTCGGAAATGCTTTGGTTCTTAAAGCACACCAAAAGCGCTGAATCCTCCTGTCCTGAGCGCTTATATTTGAGGAAATAACTGAAGGCTGTGGTGCTCTGGTAGTGGTTTACCACTGGAATAGTTAAAACCAACCACATGAAATGCTGCTCTGCTCCCTCTAGTGGTGATGTGAGTAATGAACACAATGAACTGGAATTTTGTTGCTTGTAATTCATGTATAGTGGTGTTGTGGCCAAACAAAGTAGTTTCGCTTTCACAACAAAACACAGCATCAACACACAGTGGGCTTGAGTGAGCGGAGGCCGGCTTGAGTGAGTGGTGGCGGGTATTTATTCCTGTGACAGCAAAGCTGAATTTTCATTTCCAGTTAAAGTTTCCTTCCGAATCATTCTACTGTACTGATTTGATGCTCATAAACATTTCTTATTATTGTCAATGTTGAAAATAGTTCTTAGTGCTTCTTAAATTTTTTGCAAGGAGCCATGGACTCTTTGAGAAATATATAATTCATAATAATAGCATTTATTGGAAATAGAAAACTTTTTGTAACATTATAAATGTTTTTGCTGTCATTTTGATCATTTTACTGTGTCCTTGCTGAATTTAAGTATAATATAAAAAAATATTATAATTAAAAAAATTCTTCCTGACCCCAAACGTCTGAATGGCAGTGTGTATTGATATGTCGTCTTGCGCAACACAGATTTTTGTCCTTTCGAATTCCCTTTAGAATGTGAATATTTTCACAAACAACCTGCTTCAACAGGAAATGTCAACAGAAAGAAAACTGCACTCAAGCGAAGTTGCTAATGTTTGAATTTGTTTGAAGTTGTTGAATGAATAGTCACTTTAAGTCTCCATATATTTCCTAAACCGTAATTTGCCATGCTTTTATGTAATTATACAGTAATTTGTGGTCTGTATTCAACAATGAAGTGATAATGGATGCCCTTTTCCTTCTGAGGAGCTGGAGTGAAGCTACGTTAGTCACAGAGCCAAAGAAAGAACACGTCATGAGGCATATGTCATATCCCTTTAGATTTTTCCCATGTTGTTTTGAAGAGTTAAAGCTTGTGACATGAACATCTGTTTAGCGCAGGTGACCATTTGATTAATGGAATAAATAAGTGCTACAACATATAGAACTGCCATTAAATTGTTTTGTTTTTTTACAATCAGTCAATCAAATTGTTTGATCTTTGAGTGAGGCTGCATAAATTACATGCATTATTGCATGACTCTCATCAGCTGGTATCACAACATATGCACACTTTTTCAACATCCGCAACCATTTGGATGTATTATAAAGGTCTGATCACACCAAAAAGCACTCCAGTCATTCACATGTACTAATGCAAGATACAAACCATCTTAAAATACAACCTGTATAGGAACCTAAGTCTAGACTATGTGCCTCTTTGCGTGTTTCTGTGTCTCTAGGACATCACGACAGCGCAGATCTCTGGTGGGCATTGCCAACAGGACCTCTTCTCGTCTTTTCACTACACCTTCTTCACTGCCCAATGGCTCTGCCACTCGTAGCCCAGAGGAGGAAGCAGAGGCCAATAAGATTTCCCTGATTGTTCAGGCCAAAGAGTCGACGGTCATCTCCAATCTGCGCCATTTCACCAGCTACCAGATAGAAATCCATGCCTGCAACCATGAGACTAACCCCTCTCGCTGCAGTATGGCGGCCTACGTCAGCGCCCGCACCATGCCTGAAGGTATGGGATTGTTATTTTATGACGCATTATTATTTTATATATTGTAGCTATTATTAATCACTTTAACTTGTAACCTTTACTTTGTTTCTTATAGAAAAAGCAGATGACATTGTGGGGCCGATAACCTGTGAGGTGTCTGAGTACTCCGTACACATCAGGTGGATGGAGCCTAAGGCCCCAAATGGCATGATTATTCTCTATGAAGTCCATTATAAGAGACTGGGAGATACAGAGGTGAGATGCTACATGAGACGAAGATCGAATCGTGCCATGAATGCTGGCTGCACTTTTAATCAGATTTTTATCAATCCTGTCGAAATCAACATGTGCTAGCTCCAAATCAGCAAGCTATTTTAGCATCATTCCGTCAGCTGTGTATTTCTGTAACCATGGAGAAATCCAGCCAGAGACAGTGGAAATGTTCCTAATGTTGTTTTTGAAAAGCTTTGGATAAACAAGGGTTGATTATATAAAGGCTAATAATTGTTGTAAGTGAAACAAAACATGATGGTTTTGCACTTAGTGGCACATGCACCTGTTTACGTTGATGGATTTGAAACACTCTGTTGTAACTGTTTACGCTGACATCTGGCAGTTTCATTAAAGTCTGATGAGTGATATTTGGATGTATTAGTGTGAGGTGGACTTTAAAAACATGATAAAAGCCAAGACTTTGCCACTGGCTAATGGACGTCTTCAGCTGTATGGGTTGTCTAACTGCATGCCTTTATGTCTTAGGAGCTGCACCATTGCGTATCCAGGAAGAATTATATTGCAGACGGAGGCTGCAAGCTGAGAGTGGTGCATCCTGGGAACTATACAGTGCGGATCAGAGCCACCTCTCTGGCAGGCAATGGATCATGGACAGAGCCAACACACTTCTATGTGCAAGACCTACGTAAGACGCTATTACACACACACACACAGCTTGTCTATAATGATAATGAATATCACATTTTCAGTTTTGAAATTATGCATAAGACCCACATAACTGAATCACACACTGATATAATGGTGCAAAGTTTCAACCTCTAGGTTTTTATTAGGGGGGGGAGTCAAAATGTTGCATTTTAATTTGGAAGCCCTAAGATGCCATGGATTATATATATTTTTAAATCGTAAATTGGTTTTGTTGTGTTGTTGTTGTTGTTTATTGGTCATTTGTGTTTTAATTATTTATTTAATGATAAGCTACCACTAAATATTGTAGAAACCTAATTTGCTGTAAAGTTGCTTTGCAATGATTTGTATTGTGAAAAGCGCTGTACAAACAAACTTGAATTGAATTGAAAAATTGAATTTATTATATATTATTTTTTAATTCCTTGGCATTTTAAGGCTTTCTATAACATATTGGTGAATTATTATCAGTGTATGGATACTTACTATTTTTATTTACTTTTGTTTATTATTATTTGCTCCATTGTGTCCCGCACCTGTTATCAGACTTGGTTTGGATATGCACACTTTTTTAATTTTTTTCTATTGTGTGTATGTGAACAGGTGTGGACCCATCCAACATGCTGAAGATTGTGATGGGTCCTGTGATCTGTGTCTTTCTACTCATCATGATGGGAGGTGTAGGCTTTTTCATGTTCAAGAAAAAGTAAGTGTTTCTCTTGTGAATATCCTTAAAACCAATGCAGAAAACTGATCTTAATGAGGTGTATGGATTTAATTTTGTTTGTTCATCTGATCAGACAAACAGATGGTCCGACTGGGCGACTTTATACCTCTCCAAATCCAGAGTATTTCAGCCCAGATGAGGGTGAGCAACTTTCCTTTACCTTTTCATGTGCTTAATGACCTCTGACAGAGAATGCTGTGGTCGATGCACATTTAATTTTGTTTTAATAGAACCAGAGTTGATCACATTAACAGTGTTATCGATTTAGGACGATTATCACATTTAAAATGACTTTCTCTTCTGTCTGAAATCTGCTCCATCTCAAATATGGCACTGTGTGTCATGCACATCTGTTGTGTCTGTGCAGTGTATGAGCCAGACGAGTGGGAGGTGCCTCGTGAAAAGATTACTCTGTTGCGAGAGTTAGGCCAGGGATCTTTTGGCATGGTGTATGAGGGCATAGGAAAAGACATAGTTAAAGGTGAGCCACAGATCTGTGTCGCGGTGAAGACGGTTAACGAGTCGGCCAGCCTCAGAGAGAGGATTGAGTTCCTCAACGAAGCTTCTGTGATGAAGGCATTCAGCTGCCACCATGTGGTAAGACATGTTTCTACATGTCAGGCTTCCTGTCCTGCATGTTTTGTAGTTAGACTCAGTGTTATTTTAGTATTATTTATATACTATTTATTAATATTTTGAATTAGCTTTTTGTTTTTATATTTTTAGTTTTCATTTTAAGTTTTAGTAAGTTTATGTGCTTTTTAAATATATATATATTTCAGTTGTAATTTTAGTATGTCAACTTTTTTCAGTATCTAATATCTTTTATTATATAATTTATCATATAACAATTTTTTCAGCTTTATTTTAATTACTGAAAATAGTTTTAGTTTTTAGTTGTACTTGCACTGGTTGGACTGTGATGTTTTTTGATGATAACTGGCATGATTTTGTGGGTTAGGTGAGGCTGTTGGGGGTGGTGTCTAAAGGCCAGCCAACTCTGGTGGTGATGGAGCTAATGACACATGGAGATCTGAAGAGTTACCTGCGTTCTCTTAGACCTGACTCGGAGGTAACAAACCGTAGCAGAGGAGTCACTGTCAGACCTGCTACAGATTACTTCTTTAGATTAGTTATAAGGAGCTAGACTTTTAGATTAATAAAAGTACCGTTTAAATAATGGATTTTTGTTTTACTGTGCTGTTTGACAGAATAATCCAGGTCGGCCTCCTCCAACGCTGAAAGAGATGATTCAGATGGCCGCTGAGATAGCAGATGGGATGGCTTACCTTAACGCCAAGAAGTTTGTGCACCGAGATCTTGCAGCCAGGAACTGCATGGTGGCCGAAGACCTGACTGTAAAAATTGGAGGTACAGTACCAATCATAGGGGTAAATTTATGTAAGTCCAGTCTCTAAATTCCCTGTGCAAAGCTCTGAACGATTCAAGGTGCTAACATAACTGGTTCGGAAATCAGTATGGTAGTAGGTACTACATTGTATGAGGATTAAACCAAACAATAAATGCTAAATAGAAAAATATATAGATATATTATAGCACAAGATATCAAATATTAGATCATTAGAAATGTTCCCTTGGTAACTATCTGAAATAAATAGGTTTGTTGAAATACTAAAATTACTAAAACTGAAATAAAAATGTGCTAAAGATATATAGAAATATAAAAATCAAAGAAAAAAACATTAAATACCATAACTAATAACTTGAATTTTTTTTATAATCAAGTCAAGTCACCTTTATTTATATAGCACTTTATACAATACAGATTGTGTCAAAGTAGCTTTACAGTGTTAAACAGGAAAATAATGTTCCAGTGATGCAAACAAAATTAATTTCTGCTGTAAAGCAGCTCTTAAAAGATGACAACAATAAACAGTCAACACAATGCAGACACTCTGAACTGATTCATTTGTGTCCCACGATTATGATTCTTGTGTTAATACCTTGTTAAAATGTGTACTTTTAGTGATATGTGATGCTTTCCATGCTTCGGTTTCATGTGAAATGAAAAAACAGTGTATAATTATGTCCTTTTATGATAAATGATTCTCTGTCTGGGTGGAACTAGTCTTGGGTCTAGTTCAAAATGAGCTGCTGAATACAAGATCATAATGATAAAGGAGGGGCAAGTGTTGAAGCACAGGATGTGCTGTAATATATCTTGTATATTGTATTGTGTCATCTATTATTGTAAGAGCTTTCTAATGATGTTATTTTGTCTTGTGTTCTCTGCTGTCAGATTTTGGCATGACGAGAGACATTTATGAGACTGATTACTACAGAAAGGGTGGGAAGGGCCTGCTTCCTGTGAGATGGATGGCCCCTGAGTCGCTGAAGGATGGAGTTTTCACAGCTCACTCAGACTGCTGGTGAGCTGACCATGTGCACACAAACAACCATAAAAAGACATGCGTTATTGTTGTAGGACAATGTTTAGCGTATGTTTTAATCAGTCACAAGCCATGCTGTGCTTGTCCAGGTCGTTTGGCGTGGTTTTATGGGAGATCAGTACTCTGGCTGAGCAGCCATACCAGGGGCTGTCCAATGAACAGGTCCTTAAGTTTGTGATGGAGGGAGGCTATCTGGACAGACCAGACAACTGCGCAGACAGATTGTGAGTATATTACTGACATATTGCCTGTTTTTTTTTGTTTTTTTTTCTGCTGGACAGTCAGACCAGTAGTTATAATTTCAACTTGCCCTGCCAACATTTTGGCGCATGAAAGAATGATAACTTTTTTATTTTTAGCAATACATTTTTATTTTTGCTAGAATTATATTTTTCAAGAACATTTTCTGCATAATTTTGTTTTAAAATTTTTACAAAAAGAGTATTGCAAGAAGCTGAAAATTATAGCTAATTCCGTGGGTCCTTAAAAAGTCTTACATTTAGTTGTATCAAAATTTAAGGCTATAAAAAGTCTTAAATGGTATAATCAGTCACAAGCCATGCTGTGCTTGTCCAGGTCGTTTGGCGTGGTTTTATGGGAGATCAGTACTCTGGCTGAGCAGCCATACCAGGGGCTGTCCAATGAACAGGTCCTTAAGTTTGTGATGGAGGGAGGCTATCTGGACAGACCAGACAACTGCGCAGACAGATTGTGAGTATATTACTGACATATTGCCTGTTTTTTTTTTGTTTTTTTTTCTGCTGGACAGTCAGACCAGTAGTTATAATTTCAACTTGCCCTGCCAACATTTTGGCGCATGAAAGAATGATAACTTTTTTATTTTTAGCAATACATTTTTATTTTTGCTAGAATTATATTTTTCAAGAACATTTTCTGTATAATTTTGTTTTAAAATTTTTACAAAAAGAGTATTGCAAGAAGCTGAAAATTATAGCTAATTCCGTGGGTCCTTAAAAAGTCTTACATTTAGTTGTATCAAAATTTAAGGCTATAAAAAGTCTTAAATGGTACAAGAAAGTCTTAATTGTGATTTCAAGGGGTCTTAAATTTGGGGATGGAAAGACAAGAATCGCAATATGGCTTAATGTGACGATTAAACTTCAAAAGGCTATGATTTCATTGAATAAATATGAAAGCTGCCATGGCAGTAGCCAGGGTTTGAAAATGAGTGAGGTCTAGGGTGGGGTTAAGAATTGTGCTATAATAACCCCACATACAACTCATTTTATACACTAAACACTTTAAAAGAGACAGATATGTAGATGTTTGTGAAAGATGTTTTTTTCTGTTTTGGAGGAATGAGCATTGTTAAATTATATCATATTGCACCATTACTTTAGCTTATAATTACTTTATATTATAGGCATATCATTTTATCATTTGTTTATTGTTCATTCAACAACACATAGGCCTATTACTGTTATAGTTTTCATTAATAACCATTGCTATATAGATGATAACTTTGTCTAGTGCTCTAATGAATGTTTTTGGCATGACTTTGTGAAAATTTAACTACAATACTCAACGAAATAGCATAGAGACATAACCTACTTGTTCTACATATCTCTGGACTAGTGATATATGGTACTGTTTTGATAGCGTTGATAATGTTTCTGATGGATAATATCATGTTTTGTTTTGTTGTTTTGCGTTTGCCTTACCGAATGTGGCATCCTGTCAGCAATAACATGTTTGTGGGCTCTTTTGATAAGTTTTGGCGGTCATTGCAATGTTGCCAGATATTGCTATGAAAACAAATAAAAACCAAAAATAGTTAAAAAATAAACAGAAATGAGTTCAAAAAAGATATCGCTAACCCTAAACTGCAACTTCCCGCTCTATTAACTTTCTAAAGTGTCAAATTAAGTAGAAAAGAGAAGTCCAAAGACGCTTATAATAACTGGATCTGGCAACCAGACTCCGCCAGCGCCTTGTAGAAATCATTTTCATACCACGGGCACTAAACATTCTTGCAAAATGTCTCAGCTTAATTATACATGCAGACACTCATATGAGGAGCTTTAAACAGTAGATTAGTCATTTAGAGAACAAATTTTATTTTTGAACCTATAATATCATATATATTATAGCTAAATATAGCTGTTGTTAGTAACATAATCTGTTATTTTACACATTTTAGATCATATAATCGGACCCTTTTTTAACTTTTTGATTATTTTTAGATTACTTTTAAATTAAATAATTAATTAAAAATTAAATCAAAATAAAACACTTGCTAAAAAAAGACAAAATAGTTTATTTGTTTATTCTGTGTGGCCTCTCAGTTTTTTGTGTAATTATAGCCACCTGACTAGTGGTTGGTCTGTGTGTGCAGTTCCACAAAGCAGTAAGACTTTCTGAACATATAGGCGTTTTTAAAAAAGAAAATTTAAAAAAACTATAATTATGGAGAATCAATGAATTATGAAAAAAATACTGCCGTTTTGTCAATATTAAGTAATCATGTTATCAATAAAAAATAACTGTAGACTGATTTGGAATATTTTAGGTAATCTAATCTAATCTAATTACAAGTATTTCACTTTTGGAATTGGATTACATAACCAAGATTACATATAATCAGTTACTACCCAGCATTAATCTTTAACTCTAAAGAGTATCTATTTTTCCTGATCTTCCAGGCATAGCCTGATGCAGATGTCCTGGCAGTACAATCCCAAAATGAGGCCCACCTTCCAGGAGATCATCGAGATGCTCCGGGAGGATCTGCATCCCTCGTTTCAGGAGGTCTCCTTCTTCTACAGTGAGGAGAACAAGCCGCCTGAGACGGAGGAGTTTGATATGGACCTGGAGAACATGGAGAGCATCCCATTGGACCCTTCCTCATACTCTCAGAGGGAGTGCTGTCTAGACGGTGACGAGGGCTCATCCGTGGGCCTTCGGGGGAGTTATGAGGAGCACGTGCCATATACACATATGAATGGCAGCAAGAAAAACGGACGCATCTTATCCCTACCCCGATCTAACCCTTCTTAATATTATTAACCCCATCAAGCTATATTAGATTGTTTTTCTTTATTTTATAGATTCACTTTCATCAAGCTCTATATCAAAAGCTCTTCAGAAAGTAATCTCAGGACATTTGTTTTCTACTTTACTGCCTCAGTATGATGATGATGATACAGGGTGCAGGTTATTTTTTTTCTTGTATTTAAAGAAGATACACATCAACTGCTTCTTTTCTGTCTTTTTTTTGTTTTTGCCAAGTTTCAAGGACTGGTCAAATGGAACAAACTGTGAAATTAACCTCAGACAACCAGAAGGCTGCTTTTAACCTTACATCTCCTCAGACTCTCCCCTCATCCACCAACCGATTTTCCCTGACTTTCTCCAGAAAAAAAA